CACAGTATTTTGAAGTATCATTTGTTTGCATCCAATAATCAAACTGTATCTTATTTTGAATATATTGAAATTAAGGACATATACTAGTTTTGAAGTGAGTAAATATGGAAGTGGGTAATGACCTTGAATTAGGAATGACTGGAACAAGTACAAATTCTGACGTGTTAGTGGGACCCCCTGCTGGTGCCGTGGGACCCCCAGCTGGTGCTGTGGGACCCCCAGCAGGTGCTGTGGGACCCCAGCTGGTGCTGTGGGACCCCAGCTGGTGCTGTGGGATCCCCAGCTGGTGCCGTGGGACCCCCAGCTGGTGCTGTGGGACCCCCAGCTGGTGCTGTGGGACCCCAGCTGGTGCTGTGGGACCCCAGCTGGTGCTGTGGGACCCCCAGCTGGTGCTGTGGGACCCCCAGCTGGTGCTGTGGGATCCCCAGCTGGTGCCGTGGGACCCCCAGCTGGTGCTGTGGGATCTCCAGCTGGTGCTGTGGGACCCCAGCTGGTGCTGTGGGATCCCCAGCTGGTGCTGTGGGACCCCAGCTGGTGCTGTGGGACCCCCAGCTGGTGCTGTGGGATCTCCAGCTGGTGCTGTGGGACCCCCAGTTGGAGCTGTGGGGTCCCAAGCTGGTGCTGTGGGACCCCCAGCAGGTGCTGTGGGATCCCCAGGTGGTAGTGAGGGACCCGAGCTGGCACTGAGCGACCCCCAGCTGGTGCTTTGTGGCCCCCAGCTGGTGCTGTGGGACCCCCAGCTGGTGCTGTGGGACCCCAGCTGGTGCTGGAGGACCCCCAGCTGGAACTGTGGGAGCCCTAGCTGGTTTTGAGGGACTCCCAGCTAGTGATGCGGGAACCTCAGTTGGTGCTGTGGGACCCCCAGCGCTGGTGCTGTGGGACCCCCAGCTGATGCTGTGGGATCCCCAGGTGGTGGTGAGGGACCCCCAGCTGGTACTGAGGGACCCCCAGCTGGTGCTGTGGGACCCCCAGCTGGTTTTGAGGACCCCTTGCTGGTGCTGTGGGACCCCCAGCTGGTGCTGAGGGGCCCCCAGCTGGTTTTGAGGGACTCCCAGCTGGTGCTGTGGGACCCCCCAGCTGGAGCAGAGGGACCCCTTGCTGGTGCTGTGGGACCCCCAGCTGGTGCTGAGGGACCCCCAGCTGGTGCTGTGGGACCCCAAGCTGGTTTTGAGGACCCCTTGCTGGTGCTGTGGGACCCCCAGCTGGTGCTGAGGGGCCCCCAGCTGGTTTTGAGGGACTCCCAGCTGGTGCTGTGGGACCCCCCAGCTGGAGCAGAGGGACCCCTTGCTGGTGCTGTGGGATCCCCAGCTGGTGCTGAGGGACCCCCAGCTGGTTTTGAGGGACTCCTAGTTGGTGCTGTGGGACCCCCAGTTGGAGCTGTGGGGTCCCCAGCTGGTGCTGTGGGACCCCCAGCTGGTGCTGTGGGATCCCCAGGTGGTAGTGAGGGACCCGAGCTGGTACTGAGCGACCCCCAGCTGGTGCTGTGGGGCCCCTAGCTGGTGCTGTGGGACCCCCAGCTGGAGCTGTGGGGCCCCCAGCTGGTGCTGTGTAACCCCTAGCTGGTGCTGTGGGACCACCATCTGGAGCTGTGGGACCCCAGCTGGTGCTGTGGGACCCCCAGCTCGTGCTGCGGGATCCCCAGGTGGTAGTGAGGGACCCCCAGCTGGTACTGAGGGACCCCCAGCTGGTGCTGTGGGACCCCCAGCTGGTGCTGTAGAATCCCAGCTGGTGCTCTGGGATCCCCAGCTGGTACTGAGGGATCCCAGCTGGTGCTCTGGGACCCCCAACTTGTGCTGTGGGACCCCAGCTGGAGCTGAGGGACCCCAGGTGGTGCTGTGGGATCCCCAGCTGGTGCTGAGGGACCCCCAGCTGGTTTTGAGGGACTCCCAGCTGGTGCTGTGGGACCCCCAGCTGGAGCTGTGGGGTCCTCAGCTGGTGCTGTGGGACCCCCAGCTGGTGGTGTGGGACCCCCAGCTGGTGCTGTGGGACCACCACCTGGAGCTGTGGGACCCCAGCTGGAGCTGTGGGACCCCCAGTTGGTGCTGTGGGATCCCCAGGTGGTAGTGAAGGACCACCAGCTGGTACTGAGGGACCCACAGCTGGTGCTGTGGGACCCCCAGATGGTGCTGTAGGACACCCAGCTGGTGCTGTAGAACCCCAGCTGGTGCTGTGGGATCCCCAGCTGGTACTGAGGGACCCCAGCTGGTGCTGTGGGACCCTCAGCTGGTGTTGTGGGACCCCAGCGGGCGCTGTGGGACCCCCAGCGGGTGCTGTGGGACCCCCAGCTGGTGCTGTAGGACACCCAGCTGGTGCTGTAGAACCCCAGCTGCTGCTGTGGGATCCCCAGCTGGTACTGAGGGACCCCAGCTAGTGCTGTGGGACCCTCAGCTGGTGTTGTGGGACCCCAGTGGGCGCTGTGGGACCCCCAGCGGGTGCTGTGGGACCCCCAGCTGGTGCTGTAGGACACCCAGCTGGTGCTGTAGAACCCCAGCTGGTGCTGTGGGATCCCCAGCTGGTACTGAGGGACCCCAGCTGGTGCTTTGGGACCCTCAGCTGGTGTTGTGGGACCCCAGCTGGTGCTGTGGGACCCCCAGCTGGTTCTGCATGAATTGTAAATACTGAATGGCATTACACATCAATTTCTTGGGAGACTAACACCAGGTACCTACTAACACCCAGGCACCTACTGACTAACTCATAAGTACCTACTAGCACCCAGGTACCTACTAAGAACCAGGTACCTACTGACTAACTCATAGGTACCTACTACCACCCAGGTACCTACTGACTAAGAACCAGGTACCTACTGACTAACACCCAAGTACCTACTGACTAACACCCAGATACCTACTGACTAGCACCCAGGTACCTACTGACTAACACCCAGATACCTACTGACTAACACCCAGGTACCTTCTGATCAACACCCAGATACCTACTGACTTACAACCAGGTACCTACTAACACACAGATATCTACTGACTAACAACCACATACCTACTGAGGAACACGCAGATACCTAATGAATAACACCCAGATACCTACTGATTAACACTCAGGTACCTACTGACTAACACCCAGATACTTACTAACACCCAGGTACCTACTGACTAACACTCAGGTACATACTGACTAACACCAGCTTCCTACTGACTAACACCCAGATACCTCCTGACTAACACGCAGATACCTACTGACTAACACCCAGGCACCTTTTGATAAACACCCAGGTACCTACTGACTAATCCCAAATACCTACTGACTATCACCCAGATAACTACTGTTTAACACACAGATACCTGCTGCCTAAGACCCAGGTACCTACTGAGTAACACCCAGGTACCTACTAACACCCAGGTACCTACTGAGTAACACCTAAGTACCTACTGACCAACACCCAGGTACCTATTTACTGGTAGAAGAGAAGGGGCAGCAGGTGTAAGGAAATGATGATCAAAGTCTCCACCAATGCCGGGGATCGAATCACGGACAATCAGTATGTGACCTGAGTGAGCTGCCAACTGTGCCATGGGATATATATACGTCGTGCCGAATAGGTAAAACTGGTCAATTAGCAAGAAGTAATTTAAAATTAAGTCCTCTCTAAAATTTTCCCTTGTACGTTTAAAGATACATTTTCTTTATTTATGTTAATGTAAAAATTAATAATTTTGTACCAAAAGAACCTTAGAAAACTTACCTGACCTTATTATAAAAACCGCAAATTAATTTAGCCTAATCCAACTAAATACATTTTTGATAAGTTTACAAAAATTTATTAATTAATAAACACAATGAAACATTTTTGTCAACACGTTCAGAATGATTTTTGCATATACAAATTTTCGCTTGCCTTATTCGGCAAGAAGAGCATTGCTATTTACGCTAAAATAGCAAATTTTACCTATTGATATTAGGTTTATAAGTTCGCTTCCGCTTTAGCAGTTAATTAGTGCGGCGTCTACATGATAAAAGTGCGAAGAAACACCCATACCACTACCTGTGTTGTACGACTCTCACGGACGGTGGATCGAGTCTCCACCACTACCTGTGTTGTACGACTCTCACGGACGGTGGATCAAGCCTCCAACACTACCTGTGTTGTACGACTCTCACGGACGGTGGATCGAGTCTCCACCACTACCTGTGTTGTACGACTATCACGGACGGTGGATCGAGTCTCCACCACTACCTGTGTTGTACGACTCTCACGGACGGTGGATCGAGTCTCCACCACTACCTGTGTTGTACGACTCTCACGGACGGTGGATCGAGTCTCCACCACTACCTGTGTTGTACGACTCTCACGGACGGTGGATCGAGTCTCCACCACTACCTGTGTTGTACGACTCTCACGGACGGTGGATCGAGTCTCCACCACTACCTGTGTTGTACGACTCTCACGGACGGTGGATCGAGTCTCCACCACTACCTGTGTTGTACGACTCTCACGGACGGTGGATCAAGCCTCCAACACTACCTGTGTTGTACGACTCTCACGGACGGTGGATCAAGCCTCCAACACTACCTGAGTTGTACGACTCTCACGGACGGTGGATCAAGCCTCCAACACTACCTGTGTTGTACGACTCTCACGGACGGTGGATCGAGTCTCCACCACTACCTGTGTTGTACGACTCTCACGGACGGTGGATCGAGTCTCCACCACTACCTGTGTTGTACGACTCTCACGGACGGTGGATCGAGTCTCCACCACTACCTGTGTTGTACGACTCTCACGGACGGTGGATCGAGTCTCCACCACTACCTGTGTTGTACGACTCTCACGGACGGTGGATCGAGTCTCCACCACTACCTGTGTTGTACGACTCTCACGGACGGTGGATCGAGTCTCCACCACTACCTGTGTTGCACTACTCTCACGGACGGTGGATCGAGTCTCCACCACTACCTGAGTTGTACGACTCTCACGGACGGTGGATCGAGTCTCCACCACTACCTGTGTTGTACGACTCTCACGGACGGTGGATCGAGTCTCC